CAAGTCAGTTCCAACTCATAGCGACCCTATGTACAACAGAATGAAACACTGCCCGGTCCTGCGCCATCCTCACAATCATGTTTGAGCCCGTTGTTGCAGCCACTGTGTCACTCCATCTTGTTGAGGGTCTTCCTCTTTTTCACCAACCCTCTACTTTACCAAGCATGATGTCCTTCTCCAGGGACTGATCCCTCCTGATAACATGTCCAAAGTATGTGTGATGTAGTCCTGCCACCCTTGCTTCTAAGGAGCATTCTGGTTGTACTTCTTCCAGGACAGATTTGTTCATTCTTTTGGCAGTCCGTGGTATATTCAATATTCTTTGCCAACACCACAATTCAAAGGCGTCAATTCTTTTTTTGGTCTTCCTTGTTCATTGCCCAGCTTTTGCATGCATATGAGGCGACCGAAACACCATGGCTTGGGTCCAGCACACCTTAGTCCGTAAGGTGACATCTTTGCTTTTTAACACTTTGTTGTTGTTAGGTGCTGTCAAGTTGGTTCTGTCTCATAGCAAACCCACAGGACAGAGCAGAATTGCCCCGTAGGGTTTCCAAGGAGTGGCTGGTGGATTCGAACTGTCGATCTTTTGGTTAGCAGCTGTAGCTCTTAACCACTGTGCCACCAGGGCTCCTTTAACACTTTAAAGAGGTCTTTTGCATTAGATTTGCCCAGTGCAATGCATCTTTTGATTTCTTAACTGCTGCTTCCATGGGTATTGACTGTGGATCCAAGTAAAATGAAATCCTTGACAACTGCAATCTTTTCTCCGTTTATCATGATGTTGTTTATTGGTCCAGTTGTGAGTATTTTTGTTCTCTTTATATTGAAGTGTAATCCATACTGAAGGCTGTGGTCTTTGATTTTCATCAGTAAGTGCTTTAAGTCCTCTTCACTTTCAGCAAGCAAGGCTGTGTCATCTGCAAAACGCAAGTTGTTAATGAGTCTTCCTCCAATCCTGATGTCGAGTTCTTCTTCATATAGTCCAGTTTCTTGGATTATTTGCTTAGCATACAAATTAAGTATGGAGAAAAGATACAACCCTGACACACACTTTTCCTGACTTTAAACCACACAGTATCGCCTTGTTCTGTTCGAATGACTGTCTCTTGATCTATGTACAGGTTCCTCAAGAGCACAATTAAGTGTTCTGGAATTGACATTCGTCACAATGTTATCCATAATTTGTTATGATCCACACAGTCTGATGCCTTTCCATAGTCAATAAAACACAGGTAAACATCTTTCTGGTATTCTCTGCTTTTAGCCAGGATCCATCTGACATCAGCAATGATATCCCTGTCCTCTTCTGAATCTGGCTTGAATTTCTGGCAGTTCCCTTTGATGTACTGCTGCAGCTGCTTTTGAATGATCTTCAGCAAAATTTTACTTGCGTGTGATAGTAATGATATTGTTCGATAATTTCTGCATTTGGTTGGATCACCTTTCTTGGTAATAGGCATAAATATGGATCTCTTCTAGTCAGTTAGGCAGGTAGCTGGTCTTCCAAATTTCTTGGCATAGATGAGTGAGCACTTCCAGCGCTGCATCCATTTGTTGAAACATCTCAGTTGGTATTCCGTCAATTCCTGGAGCCTTGTTTTTCGCCAGTGCCTTCAGTGCAGCTTGAACTTCTTCCTTCAGTACCATTGGTTCCTGATCATATGCTACCTCCTGAAATGGTTAAACATCAACCAATTCTCTTTGGTATAGTGACTCTGTGTATTCTTTCCATCTTCATTTTGATGCTGCCTGCATCGTTTAATATTTTCCCCATAGAATCTTTCAATATTGCCAGCTCGAGGCTTGAATTTTTTCTTCAGTTCTTTCAACTTGAGAAATGCCAAGCGTGTTCTTCCCTTTTGGTTTTCTATCTCCAGGTCTTTGCACATGTCATTATAATACTTTACTTTGTCTTCTTGAGCTGCCCTTTGAAATCTTCTGTTCAGCTCTGTTACTGCATCATTTCTTCCATTTGCTTTAGCTAGTCAACGTTTAAGAGCAGGTTTCAGAGTCTCTTTTGATATCTATTTTGGTCTTTTCTTTCCTTCCTCTCTTTTTAATGACCTCTTGCTTTCTTCATGTATGATGTCATTCCACAACTCATTTGGTCTTTGGTCATTAGTATTCAACGCGTCAAATCTATTCTTGAGATGGTCTTTAAATTTAGGTGGGATATACTCAAGGTTGTACTTTGGCTCTCATGGGCTTGCTCTAATTTTCTTCAGCTTCAACTTGAACTTGCATATGAGCCTTGTTCTGACTGATGATATTGAGCTTCTGTATAGTCTCTCTCCACAGATGTAGTAGATTTGATTCTTGTGTATTCCATCTGGCAAGGTCCACGTGTATAGTCACCGTTTATGCTGTTGTAAAAAGGTATTTGCAATGAAGAAGTTGTTGGTCTTGCAAAATTCTATCAGGCAATCTCCGGCATCGTTTCTATCACCAAGGCCATATTTTCCAACTACTGATCCCTCTTCTTTGTTTCCAACTTTCCCATTCCAATTACCAGGAATTATCAATGCATCCTGATTGCACATTTGATCCATTTCAGACTGCAGAAGTTGGTAAAAATCTTCAGTTTCTTCATCTTTGGCCTTAGTGGTTGGTGTGTAATTTGAATAATAGTCATATTAATTGGTCTTCCTTGTAGGCGTGCGTATATTATCCTATCATTGACAGCGCTGTAATTCAGAATAGATCTTGAAATGTTCTTTTTGACGATAATGCAATGCCATTCCTCTTCAAGTTGTCATTCCTGGCACAGTAGGCCATAGTTGTTATGGATTGAATTGTGTCCCCCCCAAAATATCTGTCAACTGGGCTGGGTCATTCAGTATTGTATGATTGTCCAACATTTTGTCATCTGATGTGATTTCCCTATGTGTTGTATATTCTATCACTATGATGTAATAAGATGGATTAGTGGTAGTTATACTGATGAGATCTACAAGATTAAATAGTGTCTTAAGCCAATCTCTTTTGAGACATAAAAGAGAGAAGTGAGCAGAGAGATGGGGGGACCTTATACCACCAAGAAAGCAGTGCTGGGACCAGACTGTGTCCTTTGGACCTGAGGTTCCTGTGCTGAGATGCTCCCAGACCAAGGGAAGACTGATAACAAGGACCTTCCTTCAGAGCCAACAGAGAGAGAAAGCCTTCCCCTGGAGCTGATGTCTTGAATTTGGACTTGTAGCCTGCTAGACTATGAGAGAATAAATTTCTCTTTGTTAAATCCATCCACTTGTGATATTTCTGTTATAGCAGCACTGGATGACTAAGACAATAATAGACCAAACAACTGCTTTTGCATGTGGATATCCAGTTTTGCCAGTACCATTTGTTGGAAGACTGTCTTTCTCCCACTGAACGGTGTTCGCATCCTTGTCAAAAATCAACTGATCTATTTTTATACATACTAATTAATTTAAAACCCACAAAACCCCCATGAGATTAGGTGCTTCTATTATCCCCACTTGACAGATGAGGAAATTAACTCAAAGAGAGGTTAAATAACTTATTCAAAGTTACATAGCTAGTAATGGTAGAGTCAAGATATGAATCCAGGCAGTGGGGTTTCAGAGCTTGCATTCAACTACTAGCATACTGTTTCTCAATAAATGTTCTCTAAATGAATGAAAGAGAATGATAACATCTGCTTCAAAACTATTGAGAGTAAGAGAGAGCACATATAAAAAGCACTTTGAAAACTTTAATATGATAAATAAATGTATAAAAATGCTCTCTAGCTACCATTTATCGAGCACCTACTATGGGGCTGGCATTGCACACATCAATTTCTAATCCTCACCACAATCTTAAGAACAGGCATTACTTATTAGCCTTATTACTGACAGGTAAGGCAACAGATTCAGAGAGGGTAAGCAACTTCCCCAACATCACACTGTGAATGGTAGAACTAGAATTTAAATCCAGGTCTGAATGGCTCTAAAGTGCATACTCTCTCTACTCTACGAAGCTGCCTTGAGCTTTTCTCTGCCCAAATTAACCGAAGCAAAGTAAAATAAATTCTGCTCTACTCACATTTAAAATAAGGAGAAAAATTTCATGGTCCTACATTAAAATAATTGTTATTTAAATGATGCCCCGAAGTCTTGCAAGATCCTAATGTATCTTTTGATACTTAGACAAAGAGTCATAGACTATGACTCAAATTTCTGGTTTAGTAGAGTTTTGTGTTTAAGTATATTTAATTGCATTCTAATTCTCTGAAATGTGGCAGCATATGTCTTTGTAAATCATATCCATAAATCACTGAGTTGTGGAGTTTGAAGATAAATTAGTGTAAACCTCTCATTTTACAAATGAGGAAATTAAGATCCAAAGAGAGAAATGATTTGTCAAAGGTCACACAGTTAATTAATGGCTAAGCCAGGAATGGAATCCAGGGCCACTGCCTAGAACTCTAACTCCTCGACCAGGGCTTTCACCAATTTACAAAGCTACCCACCTGCTCAGTTTTCTCTCTGTGTGAGGACATAAAGCTAGAGGAGCTGGGTAGAAAAGGAATAAAAATGAAGTGGGAATAATGTAACTGCAAATGTTTCCAATTAAAACGAAGACACAGCAGCCTTGTCTGTGTGTTTACAGTTGAGTTTCCTGGACGTCAAATACCAGGCAGTGGTTGGGATGGTAAGGTTTCCCAGAGCCCTACAGGGTACAGTCCTCTGGAAGCAACCTCTGTGCCAGCTGCCACAAAAGAGAACTGCAGATGGCTGGGAACTCTGGTGGAAACAAAATAACTCTCAGCCTCAAAGGTGCTGACACTTCAACTAGGAGGACTGAGAAAGGTTACAGGCTTTCAGTTTTCCTGGAAAAACAGTAAGGCTGCTTTGCAGAGGAAACATGGCAGGAAGAAGCCAAGTAATTGAGTAGCGGTTGTGACACAGTTTGTAGGAAATAATTAAAACCTGGACAAGGACACATCCTCAGCATAAAGAGTAACTTCCCCAGAATTTGTCTGCATTTTTCCCTACCTCCAGCTCCCGGACGATGACTTCCTTATTTTCTATCTCTTCCCCTCTAGAAGGTAAAAAGACAAGAAGTAAGTAAGCAAAGAAGGAAAGCTCTGGAGAAAGTAGACTCTAGCAGAGCAAAAATGACCTTTCCAGTGAGCTAAAGAAACATGACATAAACAACAATTGGGTGTGCTGACCTAGTGCTCATGGGGAAGAAGTAATCACCTCATGGTGTGGTCTGAGCACTGGTACAAGGATGGATCAAAACATCTTCTCCATTAACCTGCCAAGAACTAAAATTCCCACTGTGAAAGTTAATAATTTTTTAGACCAGTTATACTCAGTGTGTGGACTGTGGACCCCTAGGAGTCCTCAAGACCCTTTCAAGGGGTCTCCAAGGGCAAAACTATTTTCATAATAATACTAAAATGTTATTTGTCTTTTTTACTAAGCTGACATTTGTATCCATAATGCAAAAGCCATGGTGGGCAAAACTATTGGTGCCTTAGCACAAATCTAGGCAGTTGCACTAAAATGTACCAGCCTCCATTATCATCTTTACTGCCACACAGGAAAAAAACAATTCCAGTTTCATTTAATATCCTTGAGAAGGCAGTAACAAATTATTAGTCTTATTAAATCTGAACCCTTGAATGCTTGTCTTTTTAATACATTATGTGATAAAATGGAAAGTATTCATAAAGTACTTCTCCTGCATACTGAGATATGATGGTCGTCTCAAGGAAAAGCACTTGCGCAACTGTTTGCTGCAAACTGACCTAGCTGCCTTTTTCATGGAACGATATCGTACTTGAAGAGTCAGCTGACAGACTAACTATGGTTGTTATTCAGACTTGGGAATTTGACAGACATTTTCTCAAAAATGAACAAAGTGAGCCTGTCACTTGAAGGAAAACAACTGACGGTATTTGTTGCCAATGATAAATTTTCAATTTTCAAGCAAAAATTTGAATTTTGGAAAACTTCTATCCACCACTGTGAGCTTGACAACTTTCAAATACTTAATGTCTTTTCTGACAAGGATGGTAGTGATATTAACAAATGCGATTTTTTTAATAATGTATAATGAAATGTGTCAACATTTGGATGATCTGCATAACTCAGTGAATCAATATTTTCCAAATGGCCAATGAAATGCTTAATGGTACAAAATCTTCCTTGGTAAAAGAGGCATTCAAAGAACAAAACAGACTAACGGATTTTAGTGTTGTCATGTTAAAGAAGTTCATTGATGTAATTTCAGATTTCACATTGTAACTAACCTTAAAAAACTACTACTTAAAAAAACCCAAAAAACAGCTAACACTTGGGGAGTGTTGATGTAGTGTCAAAGAAGAATATGCACAATGACCTGAGAAGGCCATTAAAACCTTTCCCAACTACAAATCTGTGTGAGCCTGGACTTTCTTCATATACTTCAATCCAAAAAAAAAAAAAAACCACTCACAACAGACTGAAGGCAGAAGTAGATATGATAATTTACTGTATCAGTCTTCTGTTAAGCCAGACATTAATGAGAACTGCAAAAGTGTAAAATGACGTCAATCTTCTCATTATTTGTTTTGTTTTGGACAATATAGCAATTTTTAATAAAAGACATTATTTGTTAACATTTAATGCATGTATTATTTTAAATTAATATAGTATTTTTAATTTTTATAGGATAAATATTGGGGTCCAATAATTTTAAGAGTTCAAAGAGGCCCTGCAACCAGAAAAAATTGAGAACCACTGCTCTAAAGGTATGCCATTCCTAATTTAGAAACTTGTATGGATAATAAATATACTAAACACAAAATACCTGGGGAAAAGAGTCCTACAAGGTGCTAGTTCAGCCAGTCTCTTGGACTGGGCAAAGGCAGGGAAGGAATGACCTGCAGCATTGCACTAACCTGTGCTTGCAGAGGATACTCTTCTAGTTTTAAAATTACCTGATGCTGTTGCCATATCTGATTTTGAATTTATACACATTGGGTCCTGCATGAAGAAACCTCGTCTCCGGGAACGGGTAGGTGAAAGGTTTTAAACTCATTGCTTCTAAACGATAGCCTAAATAAAGTAGAAATATCAGCAAATTACTGAAAAGGTAAAGGAAAGAGGACCTGCCCAATCTGTAGATCTCTTCATCAGTAAAAAGTCCAACACTAAGCACCACTGTCTGTGTCCCAGGCTCAGTTCTGTACGAACCACCTGGACCATTCTGCTACCTGCATGGGGAGGATACATGGCATATTCAGCTGACCTCTATGCCTGAAGTCAGAAGACTTGAGTTCAAGTTTTCTCTTTTACTTATGGCCTGTGCTTATCACTTCTCTTCTATGAGACTAGTGATACTAACATCTGCCCTGATGACTTACAGGGTCTCTCTGGGGATTAAATATGTATCTCCCAATTTTCTCTTGAATCTATTCTCCCCCCTCACCTCCACTTTCCCTAGAACCTAGTAAGGGTGAAGAAGGCTCGAGTCAAATAATGAGAATCCAAAACATGCACCAATAAGAGGCACAATTAGAAGGACCTCTGCTGTTAATTTTAGATGAAGTTAAAGGGTTAGCACAACTCCCAGCCACAGCCAATGCAGCAAATGTTTCCCAGTGATGCCAAAGACTGCCTTATCTTCCCTACCTCTCAACTGCTCTTTCTCTCCACTACTTGTGAGGCTACCCTGTGTCCCAAGAGTGCCTAGGCCCCTAGCACTTACTAGTTTCACTTTTCCCATTTCAGAATCTCTGCCCACTTACAGGCCCCTCTGGGGGAAACTCAGGAAAAGGGAGCAATGGAAAAGGGCGGATGGCATGCCTCTTCTCCTCCAAGAGGGCATCTGGCATGCACTCAGAGGTTAAGAATCAAGCATGCTGTGATTTTCTAAGTCACTAAGACTTTCCTCAATGAGATGGACTGACACAGTGGCTGCAACAATGGGTTCAGGTATTAACAATGATTGTGAGGATGGCGCAGGACTGGGCAGTGTTTTGTTCTGTTGTACCTAGGGTTGCTATGAGCTGGAACCGACTCAATGGCACCTAACAACAACAGGACTTCCCTGTGCCTCTCTTTGTTTCTTCCTATGGAAGTTTAAATAGTAAATAATTTAAAAAAGAGGTCCAGAGTTCCTGAGGATCAGAACTTCCTATATATAAGATTAATTTCAGAGGCAGTGGAGATAGAGTAGAATGGGCACAAAGTAAGAATCTGAGTTTGAATCTCAACTCCAGTGTCCTTAGTTTCTTTGAATCTTGGTTTTCTTATTTATATATAATAACAATAATCACCACCAACAGCTTTTTGCTATGCCCTATTCTAAGTGCTTTGTATGTATTACCTCACTCAATCACCATAACAAGCTGTTAAGGATTGAATTATATCCCCAAAAAGTATCTGTCAACTTAGCTGGACCAGGATTCCCAGTATTGTGTGATTGTCCATCATTTTGTCATCTGATGTGATTGTAAATCCTATCTCTATAATGTTGATTAGACAGGATTAGAGGCAGTTATGTTAATGAGGCAGGACTCAATCTATACGACAGTGTCTTAAACCAATCTCTTTTGAGATATAAAAGAGAGAAGCAAGCCAAGAGACATAGGGACCTCATATCCCCAAGAAAGCAAAGCCAGGAGCAGAGAACATCCTTTGGACCTGAGGTTCCTGCGCAGAGAAGCTCCTAGACCACGGGAAGATTGATGACAAGGACATTCCTCCAAAATCTACAGAGAGAGAAAGCCTTCTCCTGGAGCTGGTGCCCTGAATTTGGACTTCTAGCCTACTAGACTGTGAGAGAATAAACGTCTGTTTGTTAAAGCCATCCACTTGTGGTATTTCCGTTATGGCGGCACTGGATGACTAAGACACAAGCCTATGAGGTAAGTAGCCTAAATTAGATAGATGAGGAAACTGAGGCATTGAGAGATGAAGTAACCCCAACATAACTAGGAATGTTGGAACTGGGATTCAAACTGAGGCAGCATAGATCTAGACTTGATACTCTTAACTACTCCCATAGTGAGCTTCCTGGGGTAATTATGAGGGAAAAACAAGACAATACATATAAAATCATTTTGTAAGTACTAAAATAGCATACATACATAAGGAACTATTTTCATTATTCTTTTCTATGTATCATCTTGATGCTATTTCTCCTCAGCAGGAAAAAACAAAAAATCTTGTATGGTGGAGGTCAGAAGATCTATGTGCCCAAAGAATGGAATTTCCCACAATTTCCAAAGTTCAAGTCCAGGGCTGCCAGTAAAGAGATACCCCAGTGTCTGATCTTGCCTGCGTGAGATTAGAATGACAGAAGGTTGGAGCCAGGGCCCATGAGACTATTCAGACTAGAACTGCAGTCAAAAGTGAAAAAAATAGTTGGTGCCAACTACAAAGTCACCAGGGGAAATACTGTTCATATCCTGCGAAAAACTTGCTGATGTCCCATGGCCAAGGCATAGGGGGAAGCAGGCTGGATTCAACGGAGGTTTTGGTGCCACGTGACTTTTCAAAGACGTCACCTGGTGAGTGGTTTTCAGCTGCTGCTACAGAAATTTAGCTCTCAATTATTGAGAGGGTTCCTCTAAGATGCAGCCACCTCTCCCCACAGACTGAGGGCTGGGGGCATCAGAGCAAAGGAAATGAAGGACCTTTGCTGGAAATGACAACGCAGAGAGGAAACTTCATGTGCTGCGCCACATCTGGCTCTCTGAAAGAAGAAAAAACAACCCTCTTCTAGCTGATGCCTGTTCCTGGTAATTGCTGGCTGCCCGCTTCACAAACAAACACCACACGCTAATTACCTCATTTGAAAATAAAGATTAGACAGCATAATCCAAAACAACCACATAGGAGTAATGGTTCAAAGATTTCACAGGGTTATTTTCCAATATGACTACTGTAGCCATGGTGATACTGTGTCCCAGTAAACATTACTAAGTTGATGGGGTCTTGCAGATGAAGGGTCAGATTCTTAACCCATTTTTAGGAGACTGCAAAGCATGATGACCTTAAAACAAAATAAGAAAAGTTTTAGGCAGTATGGGATAGTGGAAAAGATGTAAGATTTGTAATTGGAGGACCAAGGCTTGAGTCTTAGTTCTGTCTCTTCTTAGCTATTTAGCAAGTCACTTAGCCTCTTAATTTCCCAATTGATGAAATGGGGATTCCACCTATTTCATTATTTTGGGGATTAAATGAGATAACACTGTAAACAGCACTTCATAAATTCTAGAGTGTTAGAGGAATTTTACTCTTATAAAAGATTTGAAAAGTTTCTCTCTTCACTAGAAAAGCAAATTCAAGAGAGTAAAACTGATTAGCTTTAATCTCAGTACAAAATCTGGCAAATTCCAACCAAGAAACTTCTCTTGAAAAAAAATATTAAAAAATAGATTTAAAGGACATATAGGCATTGATGTAAGGAAAAGACTTTTCAAGGTTTTAGTAATTTGTTTCACATAAAGAAACATACGAGTCTGTGCGTAGAACTTGGAGCAGGGCTGAATGCTACATAAGGATAATGATACTGTTGAGGTGGAAGGAGATGATAATAAGGAAGTACTGACACTACATATGCAGCCCTGGTGGCACAGTGGTTAAGCATTTGGCTGCTAACCAAAAGGTTGGCTGTTCAAATCCACTGGCCACTCCTTGGAAACCCTATGGGGGTAATTCTACTCTGTCCCATAGGGTCGCTATGAGTCTTGACAGTAATGGGTATGGGTCACTACATATATCTGGTAATAGTTGATGGGAAAATCCTCCATTTGTTGGAGAATAAAAGAACTACCATAAGCATTTATTCAAAATACGTTTACTGAGCAGATCCAATGTGACAGGCTCTGTAACCATTAATGAGTGTGGGCAACAAAATACAGAAATCTCACTGATGCTAAGAATCCAACACTTAGGTTTTAGAGTTGAGGTTGAGGACACATGACCAGCCTCTCTCTCCACCTCCAAAAGTCCTTGCCTGGTCTCAAGGATCTGCCTAACTTTGCTGAAGTAGATTCAGACTCTCTGACAATCTCTATTTCCAACCAGAGATCATGTACACCCACCAATAGCTAGAAGTGTCCTTCATTTTAGAGGGGAGGACAAGGAAGTGACTTTACAAGAAGGAAATGACTTCCACAAGGTCACATAATCCAGTCTGGAACGAGGATTAGACCCTCAAGATTGCAGATTCCTTGGCCCATATATTTTCCATTATCACATACCTCCTGGTCAATCATTTTATTAAACTGTAAGTCTGGTCACGCTCATTACCCAGGATGACTTGAGGTAAACTCAATCTGGGTACAAAGAAATCAAAACAAAATGTATGCTTTTCTGATTAAAAGTTCTCAGAATTATATTATGGGGTATAAAGGACTACATTCACATTTGTTTGTCTTCAAGCTCAATTTTCAAAAGGAACTACTCTCATTTTCCTTACCCATAAAATGAGGATAATACCCACCTTGCAAGGTGATTAGAATAATTAACAAAATAATGCATATGTAATTGTTTATTGTAATGCTCAGCATACAGTATACCCAACAAAAAATGGGCTTTTTTTTTTGCAACAAAGTGTTAAGATACGGGATGAGACTCACCCAAGACGACCCAAAGTACTTTCATGCTTATTGATGATGTCATTTTGTTTTCTAATTAGGTTTCTTCCCACTCTTTCTGGTAAGACAATCTTTAAAATGCCACTGGCATTTGGGCAGGAAAAGATTTGCTCTTGGAAAGGTGTCAGACTTTGTTTTGTTTAGTGGGGGGTAATAAAACCTTCTAACACAGAGGTAAGAAGATGCCCTGAAATGAAATCAAAAGGTCTAGTGACAACTCAATAGACCAGAAAGGAGTGACTTTCTTAAAGTTACTCTTTGTACCTATGTGCCTTTTTCACTTCCACCTTAGCCATCCTAAAAGCTACTGAAAACCTACCTTTGGTCAGCAGGTCTAGGATTATGCTCCTTATTCTGGAAAAGTAATAGGATGGTATCTCATCTCACCACCCTGCCCGGTAGTTGCAGTTTGTTTCATGATGATGAACCTGTCTATTAGCG